GAAGGAAGGAAGGAAGGAAGGAAGGAAGGAAGGAAGGAAGGAAGGAAAGAAAGAAAGAAAGAAAGAAAGAAAGAAAGAAAGAAAGAAAGAAAGAAAGAAAGAAAGAAAGAAAGAAAGAAAGAAAAAACAGGGCATTAATAGCCTAGGAAGCCCCACTATTCCATTTGAAAAACTATGAAATCTGTGGATAGTAACTGTAGTTTGGTTTATGTTGATAAGCCTGTGGTTGTAGCTCAAGGGTAGAATAATTATAGAGCATGTGCTAGACCCTTGGTTCAATACCCAATACAAGAAAGAAGGAGGAAAGTTTACCTATAAAGGACCTGTTAAAAGAAAGGAGAGAAAAAAAGAGAGAGAGAGAGAAGGAAAGGTAGTGATGGAGGGAGGAAGAGCGGTAAGGAAGGAGGGAGGAAGAAAAGGAGAAAGGAAGGAAAGAAGGAAGACTAAAAGCAGTAAGAAAGGAATAAAGTTGTCTAACAGCCCCTATTAATGGGTGAATAAATCTATTTCCCATGTTTAGTTAGCAAGCTCATTTGCCTCCTATCCTAGGTTATGTCCTTCAGTCTCACAATTTTTAGTGTATAATTGGTACTCTGCTCTTCATTTTCCTCATGTTCTTTCTCATCATTTTCAGAATTCTGGCACGAAACCATATTCTAAATATGTACATGACCTTCACTCATATTTTTTTCTTTCTACTTTAAAGTGTTTGACTTGAAGTATTTGAATGCTATCAGACACAAGCAAAGCGGACTTTGCTTTATTACCTATCTTGGTAGTCTCTGAGGCATCTAAGAGATGAATAAAGCCATGTGAAACTTTGGTAGTCTATATCCAGGGACATCAGCACTTCCCAGAGGAATCAGCATTTAGACAGATATTGTTTGGATCAGTTGTTTCAACCAACCCATCAGAGCACAGTTCTGAATTTTAACAAAAATAAAAGGGCATGTATAGCACTTCTTCAAATTAATGATCTGCTTCTTCACATTCTCATATCTGCATCACAGTAAAACAATATGAACAAGGCCTATTGATGTCTTGCTAAATTTTCCAACTTAACTGAAAGCATCAACACTAACACAAGAACTAGGGAAGTGGTTCAGCTGTAGAGAATTTTCTCTGAATGAGCAAGGTCTGGTTTCAATGAATGTACAATACCAATAAAGATAAGGAGGTAAATACATAGAGCTTGGAAAAGGCTAAAAGAAATATTACTCCTTCCTCAAAGAAATATTACCTCTTCTCAAAAGATCATATTGAATAGTTGCATACAGAGAAAAGAAAATAATAATAGATTTAAATTCTGAATCAATGATTTTCCTCCCAAGACTACAACAACTAATCAGAATGTAATCACCAAGGAGATGTGTACAGGGAAAATAAGGTTATATTCTGCACTCCAGGAACAGCATTAACAAACCAAAACAAAAAACTTTATATGAGACAGATACAAAACACAGAATTCTATTTGCTCAAAGTAATAGAAATTAAAGTAGCTGACTTATAGTGTTTTTCTAAAAATATCAAGTGTTACTATTTTAAAGACTCCATAGTTTTAGAAATCCAAGCTGCAGTCAGCTAGTTCTTCAAATAGGCTCTGCACACAGTGTGTATGTCTGCCTGGTCTGTTTGCCCTGGCCACCCTGGGATTGTTTCTGGAAGGGCATTTCTTCTACCATTACCTTTAAGTCCAATATCTAGTTTAAAACAGCCAATCCCATTTCCAAAAGTCCACAACTCCATTGAAAGTAACTTTATATAAAAACAATTCAAACAAACCTTAACATGTCACTTTTATTGTCACTATATGATTTCATTAATGCTTACATAATTTATCACCACCTAAAGCAGCTAAGCAAGCATGCATCTGTTGCACAAATGGAAAAAGAAATGGAGACCTATGTGAAAATATTAAAATTAGATGATAAAGCATATATGAAAATCTGTTGTTAACTGTCAAAGACTAGCAAATGTGAACAACTTTCCTTAGAACAACTTTCTAAGTCCTCCTAGAGGCTTACAGGTAGTATGGATACTTAATAAATGTGTGTTTTTAGTAATGGAATAAGAGGCGGCACCAATAAGGGGGAAAAAAAACCAAACAATGCCATCGATGAAGCTGGGAGCCATTAGAAGTGTCAGTGGAAGAGATGAGGCTGTGGCAATGAGGGGAGGAAGACAGGGTATAAAGTTCCAAACTTAGTCATAATTCCACTGCTTAAAACTCGTGGGAGCTGAGGGAAATGAGGATGATTCACATAGTGCGCTGATGCTAAATAAGAGTGAAAAAGACTCTGCTCTATCTACTTTAACCGTTACCCAAAAGTTTACCTACAGGAACTTGTGTATTCTGTCAGCTCTATACCTACATTCACCCTCCCTATATCTGCTATGATTTTTGTCTTTATAAAGCAGAAATCTAAATCTAGGTTACTAAATGCTGTGATGGAAATACGTCTCCCAATACCATGTGTTGGACTCTTAACCTCCAATTCACAAGTATTGAGATCTGAGACTTCTGTCATGAGGATGTTCATGCGTGCACTCAAGCAAACATCCCAGGACACAGATGATTATAGAAACCTGAGCCCCTCTTCCCTTTCAATCTTCTGTCTTCTTCTATTATTAAGGCATGATATACAAAAAGTTGCTTGCTGCCCCTTAATATCACCTTCTAGTCCTCCAGACTGAAACACCATTGAATTTCTGCTTACTGTAGACAATTCAGTCTGTAACATTGTTATACTAACATGAAATTGACAAAGTTACTGAATTACCAATTTAAAAAAGAGCACCCCAAAGACCTATTTTTGAAAATGAAGCTATCGGAACCAAGGGAAAGATCCTGACAAAAGTTCATAAAGCCTGAATGTCTCTACGATCAAAATG